AAATAATCAAATTAAACACAATGGAGGGTTTCACTAGGAGTTCTGCTTTTAAACATGATTATTTAAGCATAAACCATCGATTACATCACAGTAGGTCTGTCTTTAAAGGTTTATAGTTTAGCATTAAAAATCAATTCTTATATGGAGAAAATAAATGGGAACTCACTGTTGCGCTGTATTGCAAATAACCAGTAACTTTATTTGCATTTTAATATATAAATAAATAAATATATATATATATATAAATTTTTTTTTTTTTTGGCCAGTTATTTTCAGATATAGCAAATATGTTGGATGTTGCCAAAAGTCACTTCATCACTGCTCACAGTTTAACGATTTTTCTTGTCTGTATTTCCACTAGCACCCATCTCAGCCGCTGTCAGCACAGAACGGAAACTCTCCGAGCGGGACGGTGGTATAACCGAAGCCTCATTCCCAGAGCTGATTCCCGTGTCTGCATCCGGAGCCGGTCCATCACAGCGTCACCATTCACCCGTCCACTGTATTCCCACCAAACCACACGCTTGAGTTGCACACGAACGTAAACACACCCCGGGACCATGATGCACCGCTGCGACTCTCTCATGCAGACAAACTGCGAGACTCTTCCGTGCAGAAACCCTGCTGGCCTCTTCGGCCGCATTCACTGCAAACGCCACAGCCATTTGATTTCCTATTTATTTATTTGATCATCGAGACTTCTATTGTACATATTCAGACTACTCTATAACGGCAGAGGACATGTATTCAAATAATGAACTCAAATAATTAATATATGAAGATCCTATATTGTACATAGTGACAGATGCATTGAATGTGGATTGACGAGTTCTTGTTCTAGTGTGCAAGTGCTTCATAAGTGGAGATCTGGCTGAGAAAGTGCATCCTTTGCTTTGGCATCGGGCCTGAACTGAGAGTTACATGCGTTTGTTCAACCGCTAGACTCTGCTAGACTCGAGTTTTCAGCTTCATAGATTGCAGATGCTACTAGAGAGGTGAGGTTAGTGTCGTCTAGAAATGGTGTAAAATGGTAGGCAGGGTATATGAACCGTGAAAGTGAGATTTTATATATTTACTACGTTTTTGCTAAGCAAACAACGTCACCACTGAATGAAAACAGACGTTTGTGACATGACTGTTTAGAGCTAGTCCAAACTAGAAGCGGATCTCTTAAAATTTGCCTTGTTGAAACCAAGTCTATGGAAGACTGTTTCCGGGTACAGAATTAAAAAAAAAAAAAAAGGTTATTGCAACTTTTTTTCTCGCAATTCTGAGAAAAATGCAATTTATAAACAAAACAAAAAAACTGAATTGTAACATATAAGCAAAAATTCTGTGGTGGAAACAAAAAACAAAATTGCATAATTATGAGAAAAAAAGTCAGAATTGTGAGATATAAACTCAGAATTCCAAAAAAAGTTAAAGTTACGAGAGATAAACCAAGAATTCCAGAAAAAGTTAAAATTGCGAGATATAAACTCAGAATTCCAAAAAAAGTTAAAGTTACGAGATATAAACCAAGAATTCCGGAAAAAAGTCAGAATTGTGAGATATAAACTCAGAATTCCAAAAAAAGTTAAAGTTACGAGATATAAACCAAGAATTCCGGAAAAAAGGTAAAATTGCGAGATATAAACTCAGAATACAAAAAAAGTTAAAGTTTGCGAGATAAAA